CGTTTCACGATAAAGACTCAACAAAATGTTTATTTCGCATTATTTCTATGAATTTAAAACAAATAATATGCTGTACGAACAAGTTTTGAAAGGATTTAATTTTCATCACTACTGCCTGCGTCATGCCGTTACCTGCTTTAATACAAAACACACATCTTGATTTTGTTTTTCCCGCACCTATGAATGGCAAAATGATGAATAGCATGACTTTCACCTGTATTGCGATCCTAACTTTGTCCTGAAGGTTTCTAACGAGACCATTCTCAACGATGAATGTTCCCATATTTTTGGTAATATATTTGTGATAATAACACTTCAAATTTTTTGCTTGGCCTTTTTTTAATTCTGACGCAACAATCCCACAATTTGTGTATTCCAGCATCATTTGTTTGTGTTTAATATAATAGATGAACTTCCCCTTTAATGTCGGTTAAAAAGGCTTCTACATAGTCCGTGATGCATTTGACCTACGATATCTGAGAGGAAGACTTAAATAAATTTAAAAAGTCTGTGTTTATCTGTGTGGACCGTTGTATTCGCGGTTCTGGCTTTTTGTGACATTATTGCAGCCAAACCAATATGTACTGGTATTCTGCACGTACCGGGACGTGCACGTACATCCTCGACATTTTAGGGGGTTACGTTCACTTACTTGCTGAGAAGATAAGTGAGTATAGCCCCTGGAACTTCGAGGTGGATGTTTATATTAATATATGACATCGACTAGATAATAGGAACACTATCATTCACCTGAAACGTTTTGTAATGAACAAAGGAATACAAAAATCATAATTAGTTGGACATGAAATGCTATTAACTATGATAAAAACGCATGAGAAAGAGCAAGCCTATCCCCGTTGTACTGGGATGCTTGCTTACAAATGTACTAGTCACATACAGAACAATGATCCAAGATCTGGAATGCTGCTACATCATAACAAGTCGCAATACAAAACAATTTATAACGGAAATACCGTACTTCTCAGAAACACCCTAAAGTCATTATCTCTCGAATAACAATGTTTCCATCCAATTTGTTAGGTGATTTAAATCCAATGCATGCGATATTCACACACCGAGTAAATCCAACAGCAAAAAGTAACAAAATGCCAGTTGATAAGTGATTGCATGGACCTTAATACAGACAGAAGTAAATTTGGAGAGTTTATAACAGAAATGTTTTTATGTTTTTCATTGCAATTTAGAACGGTAAAATGTATTTTGTGTTGATTTACATTCGAGAAATACTGATTCCCAGGTATCCTAATGGAAGTGACAGTATCTATCATATTTACGAACAATGTGGGAACGAACAACTGACCATAGTGGTCAGCGTAAATGGTAGGTATGGTCATGTATACACACGAGCGTTGATTACAATATGTACATGAAAAAGAGAATTGTAATTAATAAAGAAAAATTAAATAAACAAGAGGCCCATGGGCCTTAACGGTCACCTGATATATTTATACAGAGAGTTGATTTCGTTTTTAACATGAACAGAAATATTATTCAAAGTGACAAAAAACAATAAAACCACCTTATTCAATATCAAGCATACAGATTTCAGACTAAAAAGGATTTGAAACTAGCACCTCTGATTCTAAACAAGGAAAATGAAGAAATTTTAGCACACTGACTCCCTTGAGCCCCACCCTACAGCCCTTGGGGGTAGGGCTGGCTCAAAATTTTCAAAGTATCAAACTGTCAACTCAAGGTTATAATTCCAATCAAGTTATTAACATGTAATATTCAAA